TTTTTTATGGGAGAGGAAAACCCGGGGCAGAAATCACGGAGAAAATCACTCCGTGTACAGGAAAGAACCAAGCACAACCTGTTTTCCACCATGGCAGATTTAACTCAGAGATGAGGGGAGAGCTCCCTTGTTCCCCTGGTTGTATTGGCAACTTATACAGAGTGTCCCAAAAAAACCAATTGAAATATCGTATTGTTAGAATTTGAATGCCTCAGCATGCACTCTGCTGTACCCACACGTGCATAAAATCTTGACATAAATAAATTTTATGCATAAAGAAACTGTTCAAGAATTAAAAGCTGCTTTAAATTCCCAAGAGCAGAAAATCCTGCGCTTTACGAAGATAATATATGCACCCTGTCAATATTTTACGTCATTTCAATAGTTTTGGAGTTTTTTGGAGCGCTACGAAAACGTAATAAGGGGAATCGTCAATTCAGCGCTACGAGATGATCAAAACTTGTATCCTGCATGTATTATGATTTGATTTAATTGATCTAGGCAAGAAGAACAAAATCCATCACCACAGCTAGAAAGAACATGTTAAGATTAGTAAAATTGCAAAGTTTGGTTGCGAGATAAGATGTTGTAAAATGACGAAAATATAGCCCTACGAAATTTGCAAATTTTGTGTCACACGAGAAAATTAATGCACCACTTTCGCCCAAATCTGGTGCATTTTCCCGTGCGTAATAGCTACAAATTAATACAAAATTTGCAAATTTCGTGGGGCTTTATTTTCCGCATTTTACAACTTTCGCGGCCAAATTTCGCAATTTTACTAATTTCAACATATGGCGATATGCTCTTTCTTGCTGTGGTGATGGATTTTGTTCTTCTTGCCTAGATCAAAATTTAGTCATTTAAGCTTGCTTTTAATTGTCATGCATGTATATACGAGTATGGATGTCCTTAGCATTAGAGAGGTTAAGATTGCCGTTGATACGGCAGACAGCTAACTTAGTCGTATTTTGAGATCAACTGTAAGTTGTTCGAAGTTAGGACAATTTGTGCATTAAAATTGAAGAATGAATTGACTAAAAACTTGTCGAAACCTTCGGAAACTTGTAAAACTTACTTTCAAATGCGACTTAAAGTTTCCCGTTTGCGGTGAGCTGCCACACTCGGAAGCGTTGTTTATATAGAGACAGATGACTGCCTTTAGAAACGGATGTATAAAATTGGCGGATTAATTATAATTAAATCTTTCGATAAAACTATATCAATCATGAAAAAAATTGAAAAATTAATGTTTAATCAATAGCTGTATCGGATGATTTCGTCCTGATTTACACAAACTTTTGTTTGTTGTATATTTTCTCGCCTATATATAAAACGTCCATATCGCCAAACTATAATTCGTAAACTTTATTACTTGTATTTATTTGTAACACCTGCTGCTCGTGCTTCATTAGTAATTACATTGATTGCTTAAACAATTCTCATTCTCACACCGTCCTGAAGGCGGGATCCTGAGGAACGCTTTCCCTAGCAAGACGGATTGAGGAACATTTATCATTATCGAGATCGGCTTGTGGGCAAGTCTAATCTAGATCTGTCATTTGAGATAAGTCATAAAATAATACTGTGAAGTATACTTTCAGTTGTTGCATACAAAATGCGTAATGTACAGACTTGACATTCCCATTGCTATTGCCTTGTGGGGCTGTGTGGTACGTAGTATGTACGTACCAAGACTGAGAGAATGCATTTCAAAATAAACTTAATTTCTTGTTATATATAACAAGATTAACAACCAACTTATGCATGCTAATACAACTTGGCAGATATTGTGGAAATTATGTAGGAAAATGATCACTGTTAGTGAATCATAATGAAATATATGTTTGAGTGAATATATATGTGAACGACTATATGCTCTCAATAAATGAAATTATAGAATCAAGGACAAGATACATCAAAAAGATTTTTAAAATACATAGTTAAATTTAGACTCACACATTTAATTACTTGAAAATTTGTACTTATCTTCTTTCGTCCAGGTCCGATAATGCAATTGATTCCCCATTCGGTTTAGCAATCAAATTTATGCTGTACAGTGGAATTCGAAATCTTAAAAGGTTTTCCCCGTTTAATAGTTTGAGCCATTATTAGACATTGCAGTGTTGTAACGAGTCGAGTCATTGACTCGGACTCGAGTTTCGAGTCGCTATTCGGCGCTCCTCGCACGTTTCTCTCTTACGCAATAGTGTGACAGGGCCTTACAGGAAGTACTTTGTACACTGTCACTGCAGAAAATTCTGAATAGAACCAGACCTACCAAGTCTCACGACTTATTCGTGAGACTCACGATTTTTTATGCTTTCTCACGACTAAGTCCCCAAATCTCACGATTTTCGGAATTTATATATGAAATCATCGAAGAGCGCAACATCTAGTTACAATAAGGCACGCTCTTCCAAGGAAACATCATACTTTATTAGTGTATTAATTAATAATGCGCAATGCACAACGCCAGAATGTTGTACACGTGATGTTTGTGTTACAAAGTAAAAGGCGTGTCCCGCTAAGTTTATTGTCTTGCTAGTCTTAATATTACTCGTAATTTTCTTGTTTTTGTACAGTGGAAGCTACTAAAGCCATAAAGAAAAAACAGCCTATTTTTAATAAGCCAGGCATTTACGGTTATATTAACAAAATATAAATGCATACTATCACGAAATTGTAAATCTAATGATTATTTTCTAGTGTTGTTAAAGTTAACCCTGGTCACACTAATGAGCAAACCCGAAAATTTCTCTCACGAATTTTCAGTCTCACGATTTTTCCGGCAGTCAATCTCACGACTTTTTAGACGGCAACTCACTATTTCTGCTACTCAAGGGTTGGCAGGTCTGAGAATCCATTCAAAATAACGAGTAAATGAATGCACCTATACACTTAATCCCACAGTGACACAAAATAGCGAGTAAAACTACTCATAAAATATATGTGAGTAACATTGTTTGAGTTTACTAAACAAAATGCATGAGTTTAAAATATTCAAGTTATGCACATTTACTCAAGTTATGCACATTTGCCCATAGCATTGCATTATAAAGTTAAGTTAATGTTATGAAACAAGCGTTCGGACAAAAGTAAAGTCTGTTGGGTTTGTGGCGGTTGCCATTCTTTATTATATTCAATTTGAGCACATAAGTTTCTTATAGCTTTATTTTACACGACAGACAGAATACAACTCACGCTTTTACAATGAATATACACTATTTACATAAGTTACGCTTTACGGTGATTGGTCAGATATTTACCAAATATAGTCATGAGTCTCTTGCTCTTGATCTATATGTAACTTAATATATCAATTACTAATAACATTACAACTGACAATTGTTTCTACTTTAATAACATAAATGACGTAATACATAAGAGCACAACTTAACACCCCCCCTTGCTCGCAATGTCCTAACTTCGCCTACTTTACTCCTACTTCACAACTAATTACAGATAAAATGTTTGAACTTATCCATCCTAACTTTACTTACCGGTTTTGTGAATATGTCCGCTAAATTATCCTCGCTTGCGATATACCTTAAGCTTATTGCGCCTTGCTGCGCTTCGCTCCTTATAAAATGGTATTTTATGTCAATATGCTTGGACCGCTTATGGAATGCTGGATTCTTTGCTAACTTGATCGCGCCTTGGTTATCAGCATTAATCAACACCTTATTACTTACCTGTAATATCCCTAAATCAATACACAACTGCTTTAGAAACTTACCTTCTTGCACAGTTTCAGCCAGTGCGATATATTCGGCTTCACAAGTGGACAGCGCAACTGTCTGCTGTTTCTTACTTTTCCAGGACACCAAAGGTCCTGATTCTGACAGTTGAAAACAATAACCTGAAATACTCTTTCTATCACTAACACAACCTCCCCAATCAGAGTTACTAAAACCTATCAACTCCAAAGGTTGTTTCATTTTTCTGAACTTTAAACTTAAAACAGACGTTCCTTTCAAGTACCTAAGAACATGCTTTGCTGCATTTAAAGCTGCTGCCGTAGGTTTTGACATATGTTGAGATAACTTTGTCACAATGTGGCACAAATCTGGCCTTGTACCTGTCATGACATAAATAAGGCTTCCAACAATCTGCCTATAGGAGTTGGGATCCTCTAAGACAGGTGATTCCATATCAATAACCTTGTCAAATCCAAGAACAGATGGGGTTGTCTTAGGTTTACAATTATTCATTCCAAATTTTTCTAACACCTTTTCAATATAGCGAGTTTGGTTCATCTCTATCATACCATCAGAACATTTGAACTCAGTGCCTAAGAACCAATGTAAGACTCCTAAATCCTTCATCTTAAACCTTTCACTTAAATTTCCCTTCACCGTTTGTAACAAATCAGAGTTACTTGCAGAAATAAGTAAATCATCTACCCAAATAATCAAGATAATGCACTTACTGGCATCACCATCAACAAACCTATGGTAGACACAAGGGTCAGCCTGGGATTGCATAAACCCTTCCTTCACCAAGTAGTTATGAAGTGTTGCATTCCAGTTCCTACCACTCTGTTTGAGACCGTACAGAGACTTGTTGAGTTTGCAAACAAGTTTCTTACCATTTCCCCCCACTTTTTCATAGCCCTTAGGTTGTTCAACAAAGATGTCACAATCAATGGTGGCATTTAGATATGCTGCCTTAACATCCATCTGATGGACAATCATATCGTTTTGCACCGCGTGTTGCATTAATACTCGAATTGAGCTCAACCGAGCTGTTGGTGCAAATGTTTCATGGTAGTCCACACCTGGGACTTGGGAATAGCCTTTCGCTACGTACCTAGCCTTATATGTCTCCTCGTCGTTAGGACCTGATTTAATTGTGTACACCCATTTTCCCCCTACTATCTCGCGGTTGGGTGGAACCATGGTAAGTGTAAATGTTTCATTACTTACCAGAGAGTCAAATTCTTCATCCATTGCCTTTTTCCACCGAGCTGAATCTGGTGAATTTACTGCTTGTGAATAACACGCTGGCATGTCATTCATCCTATAGCAATAATCTAGTGCAACATTAGCGCTACTATCAGTGATACTTTCTACAACATACTCACTTAGGTAAGCGGGTTTATTGTGAGTCCTGGTAGGGTACCTTACTCTACTTACTTCACCCTCCACTGGTGGAATAGCTGGTTCAATATTCTCATCAGCTCCAGTTTGTTGCTCACCGTAAGAAGTATTGCGGGGAAGTGAGACAACCTCTTCGTCAATTTGACGGTTCTCGTTATCAAATTCAGTTGAATCAAAAAATTTAACACATCTCACTCGTTCAACTTTCATGCTTTCTGGATAGTACACCAAATATGCAGGGCTATTTTTGTCATACCCTACAAAAATCCCCTCCTTACTTCTAGGTTCAAGCTTCTTAGAACCTTGCACATATGCATAGCATACTGCACCAAATACGTGCATATTATTCAGATTTGGCTTTATGCCAGTTAAGGCTTCATATGGGGTTTTGCCCAATCTGTCATTGAAGCACCTATTCCTTATATATGCTGAAGCCATCACAGCATATGTCCATAACATTTTGGGTAACTTGGCTTCTAACAACAAACACCTTGCCATATTAAATAAGCTAAGCCAAGCTCTTTCTGCTGTGCCATTTTGATGGGGTGAATATGGGGCACACGTTTCATGTTTAATTGTGTTCTCTCGGAGTAGAGACTTAAACTTTTGCCCAATAAATTCCCCACCATTATCACTTCTGATACATTTCACTTTCCCAAGAGGGGCAATATCTGCTAAAAATTGTTTAGTAGCTTCGACTGTATCAGATTTATGCTTTAAAAAATATATCATGATAACACCAGAGTAATCATCCACAAAAGACAATGCATAATTGAAACCATCCTTACCACCTGGACTAATTGGTCCAGCTAAATCTGAATGAACTAAATCAAATGGGGCATTGGCTTTCTTATCAGGTGTCCTATTTCTCGACTGGGTCATCTTACCTTGTGTGCATGTTTTACATTCCACTTCCTTATGACTAGTGATCTTCATTCCATCTACAACATTTTCAAGCTTACGAATATCTGAAAAATTACAGTGCCCTAGAATTCTATGCCACTCTAAAATTGTACCCGCATTATTCTTGGAAGATGAAATACCGTTTAGGTAATATAAACGACCTACCTGTTCAATATTAAAAACTGCACCATCCGAGCTCTTAAACCTCTTGTTATGCTTATCTAGGCTTATGCTTGCGCCCTCTTCTATTGCTGCATTGACTGAAAAGATATCCTGCTGATACGATGGGACATAAAGCGCATTATTTAAAATTAGATCATGAGAACTTCCGTTTACGTCATATAGCTTAACCTTCGCAACGCCCTTACCTGTCACAACCTTAGCCTTACTGCCATCTGCGAGCTCTATAATGTGCGCATTTGGGTCAAAATCTTCATCAAAACTTATAAATTTAGATTTATCATTTACAATATGGCTAGTAGCGCCAGTATCTACTAAAAGATTGTTACTATAACTCTTACCACAGCCACTACTGTCACTGACTTTAAATGTAAACGTATGTTCACTGTTCTCAGTCTTCGTTCTTCCTTGATCTTCGGCTTTCTTCGCAGAATCGTTTCTCCCCATATTTGATCGGCATTCCTTCGTATCATGCGTTTTGTTTCTACAACGACTGCACCACTTCCCGTTTCCGTTCTTTCCCGACTTCGACCAACATTCAGACTTTTTGTGTCCCTTCTTCCCGCACTTGAAACAAACTCCGTCAAATCTCTCGCCGTTCTTCATGGCCATAATATTTTCTCCCGTCTCGCTGTTACCGTTTCTACTTTTCTCGCTCTCTTCGTAGCTACGCAGTGCGACTTTAAACTTTGCAAATGTCATTTGCTTGTCTCGTTGGACAACTATCGCCGAGAATGTCTTAAAGTTACTTGGTAATCCTTTTAGCACCATCGCGATCAATAACGCGTCGCTTACAGCTTCATCTGCGTTTTTCAATGCTGTCGCAGCCGTTTCAGCCCGTATGACATAATCAACGATACTCTCACTGTCCGTTTTCTTGAGCGTCGTCAGTTCTGTGTATAGTGAGATAACTCGAGGCTTGCTCTTTCCTTGGTAGTGCTGTCGCAATATCTCCAATGCTCTCTGCCCGTCGTCTTTTGCTTCGCGTATAACTAGCGCCAAACTTCTGTCGTCTAGGCATTGTACCAACTCCGCGAAAGCATCTCCGTTCCTCGACGCATCGGGTTCTTTATCACCTGGCACAAATACATCGTGTAATTTTTGTAGCCTCATCTGCGCCAGAAACTTTACTTCCCATAGTTCATATTTACTTTCATCGCCGTTAAATAGTAGTCCCCTTCTGGGCCCATAACCTGTTGGGTTTGTGGCGGTTGCCATTCTTTATTATATTCAATTTGAGCACATAAGTTTTTTTATAGCTTTATTTTACACGACAGACAGAATACAACTCACGCTTTTACAATGAATATACACTATTTACATAAGTTACGCTTTACGGTGATTGGTCAGATATTTACCAAATATAGTCATGAGTCTCTTGCTCTTTATCTATATGTAACTTAATATATCAATTACTAATAACATTACAACTAACAATTGTTTCTACTTTAATAACATAAATTACATAATACATAAGAGCACAACTTAACATACCGATGTATCTACTTTTACATCCAGGACAGGTGAATTCGTACACTACAGAGCTTTGGTATTTAGTTGGTGTTTTATCTTTGTTTGAGAGGAACGAGTTGCTGTTAAGTAGTTTTCCAATTAATGATGAAGTTGCATTTCAATTTTAGTAGTGGGGCTATTCTATGTATAAATGAGTCGGGTACCATATTTGCCAAAATAGGGTTACCCAACATATTAAATCCATTTTAGAACTGTACATGTATCCAAATGAAGAAACTAACCCAACTCTAACTTGTGTACTTTCAGAATTTATATTTACTAACTCTAAGATTATAGACGGATCTGATCATTGGTCCTTATTGCTATTTAGGGAAGCACTTGCCAACAGACGCCTTAAACCTGAACTTAATCACAGAACTATAAAGGCATCAAAAGAACTTCTAATATTTAATTAATCGTTTCTGTACATATCAAATTCCTTAATCTTCACTATATATATATATATATATATATATATATATATATATATATATATATATATATATATATATATATATATATATTTTTTTATATATATATAAGCAAAAAATCGTTTTCTTATTTCAAGAAAAAAAAACTTGTTTCAAGAATTATTTTCTTAAGGTGGCTCGCTACAGTTTATAGAAATGTTGAAAATGCGTAAACTAGATCACCTTTTTGAAGAGATGATGCTCTTTACAAATCGAAATTTGCATATTATATATACAGCGACAATCAAACAGTCGAAAATTGCTCAGAAAAGTGACGTCACCACTGTTGCTATGGCAACAATGACGATTCAAGATGGCCGATATTTTGGCTTTGAACGCATTTTACTTTAAAAAAAGGTCGGTTACCCCCATTTTTTATTTCAGAAAACATTTTCTTATAGTACAATACACTATCTGACAAATATTTAAAAAATTCTGTAATGCCAAATTTTTAAAAAATTTATAAACATGGTTTTTCGAAATAATTTTTTTTTTGCATTACAGAATTTTTTTTAAATTGGTCAGATAGTGCATTGCACTATAAGAAA